CAACCTGTTCCAGCACCAAGCAGGCAAGGGGCCCAGGCCTGCCGGCAAACGATGTGCTGGGCAGAGGGGCTGAAACTGACTTTATCTTTCCCAGTGTATAAATAAAGGCACCAGAGTGGCTGAGCAGTTCCTTTCCTCCCATCAGGATGGGGGCTTCACCTGACCCCGGCTTTGTCTTATTTTTCTCATCCTCTTGGGGTCCTTAACCCCAAGAACCTCAGGAGCCACACTGGGTTGCAGCATATAGGGAGACTCTCTCTCAAAAAACTAAACAAAATAAACAGAATTCTGTATGGAAGATGTACCCTTAATTCCCCACTTATTTACTGAAGTATGTACTGACACCTGCATAAACGTGAATTTTTACTTTATTTTTGAGGCTACACCCAACCTATTTTTTTATTTGCCAAATTGTTCTACCTTTGGCCACTGGGAGCAGAATTTCAGTCAGCTCTCTCTTTGACACATCTCCAGCATTGTGGGGTTATTATCATTATTATTATTTTTGTCTTTTTTTTTTTTTGGGTATTGGGAATCGAACTCACAACCCTGCTCTTGCCAGGCAGGCACTTATGCTGCTAGCTAAATCCCTGGCCCCTGGGCTTGTTTTTTAATTTTTCGTTTTCTTTTTTCTTTTTCTTTTTAAGACAAGGTCTTGCTATGCAGTTCAGTCTGGGTTTGAACTCACTTTGCAGCCTAAGCTGGGCTCAATCTTGCAGCAATCCTCCTGCCTCAGCCTCCTGAGTTCTGGGTTTATAGGCATGTGCCATCATGCCTTATTTTTTAATTTTGTATTTTTGGGACAGTATCTCCCTTTAAAATAGGGTCTATGGAGGTTTCTCAAAGGTCAAGCTTGCCTGTTTTGGGCTTCTGGGCAGCAGGAGATAAACTTATCAACAGGGCTGAGCTGCTTAGCCTGAGCTTACTAAGACCTTCGGAAGGGAGGGGGTGGCCCTCTGTCCTGGATCCCTGACCACGCCCTGTGCTTGTTCCACTGCCCAGGCCTCTGGAGCACTAAGTCCCACATTGTGAGCCAGACTGGGGTGCAAGTGGTCATTCAGTCACTCAACTACCATCTCTTGGGAACTGGGACCCTGCTGTCCTACTGTCCTGGGAGTGGTCCATCCAGGACGGGCAAGCTTCGGTGGCCGATGGTGGCATAGTAACTGCCTAGCTGTGGCGACATTTTTGCCCCCAACCCCTGCAGAGGCAGAGTGGGGCGAGGTCTCACCCTGCTGATGCAGGGGCTTGGTGTAGGCCAGGCTCAGCCAGAGTGCGGGGAGGGAGCCAGGAGAACTGGAGGGTGGGGTGCAGCGGGGTGTGACGGGGTGCTGGGGAATGATATCGGGGAGGGTGTGTCCTGCATTGGCCTAACACATCAGAGCAGGCATCGAGGGACCCCTCGGGCCCAACCTCTGTGCACCCCTGGCTCAGACCCAGAATGGTGCCAGGGCACAGTGGCACACACCTGTAATCCCAGCTCTCAGGAGGCTGAAGCAGGAGGATCGCTGAGAAGCCAGCCTGGGATAGGATGTTCATGGCCGGCCTGCAGTCTCAAAAAACAACAGCCAGGAAAAAAGGTGCTGGGATCCCAGATGGGGCAGGGCAAGGCTGGGGCAGGCCAGGAGGCCTGAGGTCATCAGCACCACAAAGGTCCAGCTGGGTGTAGACTGGGCCCCAGGCAGGCCAGGAGGAGCCGCCCCAGGCTCCGGGCCTCACCCTGCAGCCGCATTGGAAATACTAGTTTTCCAGCTCTGCCTGGGGCCAAGTGCACCTCCGAGAAAGGGGGCAGCAGCCTGGTGTCACCTTCCACCACAAACACCCACCCTTTCCTTTCTTCTTTTAGTAGCATTTTGAGGTCTTATGTGTCACTAAACTTCCCAGACGGGCTCCTCCTGCCTCAGCCTCCCACAGTGGTGGGAGACAAGCGTGGGCCCTGCAGTGCTCATTGGTGGAAGCTGCGGTGGCAGATGCAGCAGGGTGCAGGGAACTGTCACAGCCCCACCTGCTCTTTCCCCTCTCCTTTGCCTGCTAGGTCCAGAGCTAAAAGAGCCTGGGCCTGAATTGGGCCTCAGCTGAAAGGCGCTGGGGGCTGCGTGTTGGCGATGCCTCCAAGGGCCTGGCCGGGCCCAGACCAGGGCGAGGCTGGGTGGAGGCCGAAGTGCTAAAGGATTTGGAGGAGTGTCACACCACACCCGGAGCTTCCCTTCCTGTTTTGAGGTAGGGTCGAGTTATGTAAACCAGTTGGACTGATTTTCAACTCTGGAGGATCCTCCTGCCTCAGCCTCCAGGAGCATTGGGATTCCAGGTGTGTGTGCCACCACACCCTGCTTCTGGAGGATCTTTGTTGGTCTTTTGTTTTGTTTAGACAGGGTCTCACGTACCCTAGGCTGGCTGGCCTCCGATTCACAGAGATCTTCCTGCCTCAGCCTCCCATGTGATGGGATTACAGGCTTGGGGGCTCCCTGAAAGCCTGGGCTCCACTTCTTGGTCCTCATCCCTTAGTGTGTTGGGGCGGTTTCCGACTTCATGGAGCCCCTGGGAGCGGCCCTGTCCCAAGCCCTGAGGACCGCCGTGGGGAGGTGACTCGGGGCTCGAGGTGCAGGCCATGACTGCCCTGGACTCCCTGGGGTGCAGAGAGCTGGGCTCACATGGAGCAACCAAAGTCCAGCCGGGCAAACAGTGGGCAGCAGTGGGTTCAGCCCTGGCCCCCACCTGCAGGAGGAAGTGGCCGGGGATCCTGCCCTCCCCTGCCCCAGGGGTACTCCGGAGGGCCAGGAGGAGCCTGCCTCACCTTCCTTGGAATCCTTTTCTGCTTTTATTTTGACCTAGTTCTGATGGCTTGGTGTCAGGGTCTCCCAGTGTAGCCCTGGCTGACCTTGAGCTCTCAGTGACCCTCCTGCCACAGCCGAGTGGTGGTGACAGGGAGTCCAAATGACATGGGAAACACTCCCAACCTGCTACCTACGTGCTGGGGACACTGAGTTCCTGTCCCTCAAAATCAAAGAATAAGTTCTAAGGAACAGCGGAAGAAAGTGCTGGGCATGGGCAGGCCAATAATCCTGGCACTTGGGAGGCTGAGGCAGGAGGGACATTGCCGTGAGTTCAAGGTTAGCCTGGGCCAGAGAGCGAGACCCTGTCTCAAAACAAAACAACAAAACACAGGAAACCAAGGAGCAGGAAACTAATCGAGAGAGAGCTCCTAGAGACAGGAGGGCTCAAATGGGTCACATTCGAGCCCGCCTCTCCCAGGGAGTTTTACAGAGGGCACTCAGGAGTGGGTACAGCGTGGGACAGAACTGTGAGTGGCCACTGGGAGGACAAGGACGGCCACTGGGCAGTGTCCGCTCAGCGGGGAGGGGGCTGACACAGCAGAGACACAGACCTTTTTGGAAGAGAGGAGTCAGGAAGTCCTGTCCCCTGCGGGTGACTGATCCTATCTGGACTTTATGGGGCCAGGTGCTGGCTTGCTGTCCCCGGGGGAGGCATGTGGCACCATCAGTCTGTCTTCATCTCCAGGCTGGCCTCGGGGGAGGCGCCTGCAGCTGCAGCCCAGCCGGATGGGATGCTTCGCTGACTCCAGAGCCCGCCCCGGGGCCCGCAGTGTTTCCTCCCCTTGCCTCTGTGTCACCGGGGTCCTGGGTGTGCACCACCATGCCCGGCTCACCCTCGGCCTTTTGCAGAAGTCCGGGGTCCTCATTTCTGCCTCAAGGGTGGCATGGGGACCCCAGGCCTATGGCTATGATCCCAGCACTCAGGAGGCTGAGACAGGAGGGTTCCCTTGAGCTCAAACCCGGCTACGTAGGGAGACTATGTCTCAAAAAACAAGGCAAAGGCCGGTGGCTGGATGCCAGAGCCTGGCTTGGAGACTTTTAACTTTCCTCAGACCCTTGCCGCCCACGGATAATGTCCTGTCCCAGGCCTGGCTTCCGCCCAATCCCTGGGCAGCACATGCTAGGTGCCTTTCCCTGTGACGCTGGAGAGGACTGCGGACCCCGGCCCTGTCCTCTGCTTGCTAGCTTGCTGGGTGCCCTGGGGGAGTCACTTATCTTTGTGCTCCAGCAGCGCAGTGGTAGATGAGATCTTTCTCTCTGTCTGAGTCACACCCGTCATCCCGGGCCCAGCAGGCTGAGGCAGGAGAGGCAGAAGCTCCAGTCCAGCCTGGGCAGTTCCATGATTTGGCGAAATAAAAAATACAAAAAGGACTGAGGTCCGGCTGGGCACGAGTCCTGACAAGAAGTCCCGCATCAAGAGCGGGGAGGACAAGAGCCCCGTGACAGCCCAGGCAGGCCGTGCTGTGGGTGGCAGAGCCTTCCCTGGATGAGACCAGTAAGCATGAGCCACGCATGTGACAGTGAAGACTGCAAAGTCTCAGCCTTCCACACTGCCTGCCAGGTCCCTGAGGTTAAACACCGGCAGCTGCAGGGTACGGCTTGGACCCTGGCTGTGGGCAGCAGCCAGAGGCAACTCAGCCTTCAGCGCAGGTAACATCATGGGCCTGTGGTCAGCGCAGGGCCCGAGGCCGGGTCCCTGCCTGTCTTGCGCTCCCCCTGGACAAACCTGAGCAGACCCTTGTGGCACCCAACAATTGCCTGCCATCTCCAGCCTTTTGCACCCCAGGTTTATCAATCCCTGGCCCAGCATGGTGGTGAACACCTGTGATCCCAGCACTTGGGAGGCTGAGGCAGGAGGATCCCCGTAAGATCAAGGCCTGTCTGAATGGCAAAGCAATTAGACTTACTGTCTAAAAGCAGTAAGTCATTGAGCTTATTTCCCATAGACAGGACACAGTTTTTGGAGTCTCTGCAGAGGCGCCAAGTGATTTATCAAATGTATGTTTTTGAAGTGTCTCAGGAGCAATGCAAGGGTGATTTCGTTTTTCTGAGACAGGGTCTCGCTATGTAGCCCAGGCTGGCCGCAAACTCACAGTGATCCTCCTGTTTCAGCCTCCCCAACTCTTGGTCCTCTGGCTGTCTGTAATTTTGCCTTTTCTGGCACCGTTTTGCTGAACTCAAAAGTCTGTCTGTTGCTTCTCAGACAGCTCTGTGCCCCGAAAGCTTTGCCTGCCTCTGTGGCTTGATCTCGCCTTTCTCTTGGTGAATGGCTTTTTAATAGTTTCCTTTACCAAGCAGTTACTGTGCCTCTACCTCAGTGCTGCCAACATAAATATAATGTGAACTGTGGATGCGGCTTGGAGTTTCCCAGGCGCCACATTAGACCACGACAGTCGGGCGGGCTGGCACACAGCTGGAATCTCGGCACTCGGGAGGCTGAGGCAGGAGGATCGACGCCAGTTCAAGGCCAGTCAGAACTGCATAGTGAGACTCTGTCTCAAAACAACAACAAAAAGATAAAAATAAATAAATAAATAAAAGGCAACGTTAACATTAACACTCTACTTAATCCGTTATACATATAAAATTTTACTTCGGCATTTAATCAGTGTGGAAATAGTCCAGACTTTATATTCTTTTCCTGAGCTAAGCCTCTAAACTCCAACATGCATTTTACATTTTCTTTGCTGTTTTTCTTTTTCCTATTCTGCTACAATTTCCCTTCAATCCCTACTCCCCTCTTTGCATTTTAATTTTTAAATTGTTTTTTTTTTGGGGGGGGGAAGGATCTCACTGTGTAGTTCAGAATGGCCTTAAACTGGCAGCAACCATCCTGCTTCAGCCTTGTGTGCCACTATGCTGGGCGTGTTTCACGTATCAAGGGTCCAGTAGACACCCATAGCTGTGGCTATGACTGTGGACTGCAGGGCTTAGGCTACAGCAGGCGTCAGACCACGCTAGGTCACTGTGCTCAGAGGGTTGACATTTTAGTGAAGTGGGAGGTAATAACAAATAGGCAGATATGCAGAGTTATTGCTATACTGTAAGTCAGGGCTAGTGACACATGCTTATAACCCAGCACTGGAGATGCTGAAGCAGGAGGGTCTTGCATTTGAGGCCAGTCCGGACTACCTAGTGAGAACTGGTATCTCTCCCTCAGAAAGAAAACCTGCCATGGAGCTGCCTTCCACAGGCTGCGACCCCCAAGAGGGACATTATAACCAGGGGAAACCTCTGCTACACAATTACCTGTTGCCACCACAGTGCTGAATGACAAACACCTCACTGAGAGCCCGCAGAGGCCTGGTCCTTCTCGCTTACCCACGGCAGCTGAGCCCGGCAGCCCCGGGCTTCAGGTCTGCCAGCCCTGCACCTGGAGTGGCTGTGGGGCAGGTGGGCGGCTTTGCAGACCATGTTAGGGGCTGCTGCCTGCGGCTGGGCTGGGCTGCGGGGAGGGGCTTTTCTGCCACGTGGCCTCTCCTCCCACAGGCCACTGGAGCCTGCTCTCCTGGACAGAGGCAGGGATCCAGAGATGGACCTGAGAGTTCTCTCAAGACTCGAGCTCAGAACTGACGTCACATTTGCCACTTTCCCGTATCTGGGGCAAAGTACAGGACAAACCTATATTCCTGGAGCCATTTCAGAGCCAACTTGCAAAGGTATAGCTAGGGGGTGAGTCAGAAGTTTTAGGCAATTCTTTGTTTTTTGAGACAGGATCTTGCTGTGTAGTTCAGGTTGGTCTTGAGCTCACTGTGTGGCCCGGATTACCCTCAGAGATCCTCCTGCCTCAGCCTTCCCAGTGCTGGGATTAGATGCATGAGCCACTGAGGAAGACAGGGCTTCTTCCATGACAAAGGTCAGGAAGTGTGACCTGGTAGGGGCTGGGAGGCTGTAATCTATTCTCTAGGGAGGATACGCCCTCTCCAGAGGACAGATTTCAATTATCCTGGAAAACAAGGTAATTGCCATTCATTTTCTCCGTTCTCAGAATTAAAAGCTCGGCTTCGTAGGTTAAAGTACCCCCTCTCTACTGGGAAACCCGAATACTGCAGGGAGCCCCCAGGTAGCTCCCAGCTGTTGTTAACATCATTTTCTTGGCAAGACACAATTTCTCCCCACTGGTTGTGTGAGACCAGGTTTTGGCTACCTAGTTCAGGCTGGCCTGGAACGCTGTGGGCCAGGCGATCTTCCTGCCTCAGCCTCCTAAGTCCTGGGACTCCAGGTGTGGCTCTCCACTCTCCATGCTTAGCTTCAAGCAAATATTTATTGAATACTTACTGTGTGCCAGGCACTCTTCTAGATGCAATGGCTACAGCAGAAAACAAGAGGCCGAGCCCCTGACCTCACAGAAAGAAAACTGACCGGTCTGATGGTGAGGTGGCAGCCCAGAGAAAGCCAGTGAGCTTTGCCCGCGCTGTTTAAAATTGGCAGAGTCCTCAGCGAAAACTTGGAAATGAAGCTTCAGAGAAGCCGGTGGGCAGGGAAGGCAGCAGAGGCCTTGGTGGGGTACAGCAAGGAGCAGGGACAGCCAGGGCTGGCACAGGAAGGGCATCCTTAGGCACTGGGACACAGCTGCCCTGTGCGGGCAGATGTGTGGTTTATCGTCTTCTCCCGCGTCCTAGGCCCAAGAAAAAGGGTTCACTGCTAACACACCTATTCCTGCGTGCCGTTTTGCGTGTGTTACCAGAAGACCCAAAGGGCAGAGTTAGCATCTCCAGTTCTGACGTGTGCTAGAATGAGGGTCCAGCAGCAGCAGGACATACTCCTCTGCGGAGGGTTCTTGGAGATGGGCTCTGCCTGGATAGCTCGAGGAGATCCTCCTGCCTCAGCCTCTGGAGTGCACTGCCAACCCTGGCAGAACTTCCTCCTCAGTTAAAGCCTGTATTTGCCTCTGTCCTCTCCCAAGCAGTGTGAGGGCAGCCTGGTGCATCCAAGGGTACAAACTAGGCTCAATGGACATGACACTTACTTGGGGGTGACGGCTGCCAGAAAATGGAGCCCGAATAGAGGATGCAAGGCTAAAATCACTATGACAACCAGCTGGTAGCCGTGCCTCCTGTACCGCAGCGCAGTTGGTACATCCTGGTGTCGTGCCAGGGATGGGGACCTTTGAGGCATCTGCTTGCCTGGTCTCTCAGTGACAGCACCGGGAAGGGGTAAGGTGGTCACAGCCTGAGGGGACAACAGCCTGAACCCCTCCACGGAAGGCAAAGAGCCCAGCACAGCTGAACCCTCCCACCCCGAGCTTCTGGACTAAATACACACACCCAGAAGGCTCTGCCTAGGGAGGATAGCAGGAGGACTGCTGGGAGCCGGCCTGGGCTATGCAGTGAGAGCTTGTCTCAAAAAACCAGCAGCAAACAAGGAGAGGAAAATTCTCGAATCACATATCGACCTTTGCCTGCCAGGTTCAAGCAGGTCCACAGGTACTGAGAAGCAGCTGATAGTTAATAAAAACTTGGATTCCTTCTGTCACAGGCCTCAGGCAAGTCAGCCTTTCCCTTCTGATGACAGAGGGGACAGGAGGCTGGGATACAATCAAGTGCTCCCCAAAGCTTAATATACAGATGGACATTAGGTTTTTTTGAGACAGGGTTCTGCTATGTAGCCTAGACTGGCCTTAAACTCACAGCGATCCTCCTGCCTCAGCCTCCCAAATGCTGGGACTCCATGTATTTATGTGCCACCACACCTGGCTTTATGAGTTTTGTTTTTTCCAGGCAGAGCTGAGAATGGAATTCAGGGCTCCACACATGCTAGACAAACTGGCTCTACCACTAAGCTACTAGGCTGCCCTCATTAGGTTCCATTTGCTTCATACTGGAGATTGAACCTAGCAAGAGCCTTAACTTTTTTTTTTTCTGAGACATGGTTTTACTATGTAGCCCAGGTTGGCCTCAAACTTACAGTAACCTTCCTGCCTCAGCCTCCCAAGTGCTAAGATTACAGGTGTGTGCCACTACATCTGGCTCCAACATTAAAAAAAAATTTTTTTTTTAATTTTTATTTTTTGTCTTTTTCATTTTTATCAGTACCGGGGATCGAACTCACGACTGCCTGCTTGCAAGGCAGGTGCTTACGCCGCTGAGCTAAATCCCCAGTGGGTTAAAATTTATTTTTAAGATTTTTCTGTTTTGTTGTGAACAGGGTCTTGCTAAATTGCCAGCTGCCCAAACTGAGCTCAAACTTGGTGTCTTCCTGCCTCCCACAGTGAGGAATTACAGGCTTGTGCCGCCACACGCACCTCTTATTAGGGTTTTAATATTTGCTTTTTCCTCTCTTCATCCAAACAAAAAATACTGAATCACTGCCGAATGCTGTGGGCATACTTTAAATCACTGCTCATCTCAACTTTAATGTATGTGACCAGTTTGGGGTGCTGTTCTAGAGGAGGTTCTGTGGAATTGAATCTCTGGTCCCAGCGAGCTTCTGGGCTATACTTATTTGCTGATGGAGGAGTTTTGGGGTAACAGTCATTCTTTGAGTAGGAGGAATGTGACAGCTAAACTCCACTACGTAACACAATCACCACAAAAGTCCTTATAAGGGCTCCAAAGACATTTATTTATTTTGTTTTTTTCAGACAGGGTCTGAATATGTAGTTCAGGGTAGTCTTGAACTTGCAACAATCCTCTTGCCTCTGCCTTCCCACAGCATCACAGGCCCACACCACCAGGCCCTTCCCGAAGATATCTCTTAATGCACCCTGGCACTTAGCTTCACGCAGGATTTCAGAGCCTGCCAGCCTCCAGCACCTGCAATCCTTTGCCTCGGAAGGTTCACAGCACCATCCCACCCACCTCTTTTGTCTTTTTGATCTTATCTTTTCCCACTGATGAAAATTACCCTTTAATTAGAACCCCACCATGTCATCTAAATAATTACGGAAAGTGCAGTCCGAACCTCTGTCAGGGGTCTTTAAACAAAATGATAAATGAGATCCTAAGTCGCTGATTTGACAAAAAAAAAAAAAAAAAAAAAAAACCAAAACTGATTTGAGTAAACCAGTGGGAGAGAGACTTGTTACAACTTTCATTCCCATAAGGAACAGCTGATTTTGGAACAATTAAGGGAAATCATAAGTGTCAAAATATAAGCTTTGTAATCAGTCATGTAAAAGCAATTGAAGCATGCTAAAACTCACCTTAAACGCTTAATAGGAAAGTCTCAGGGTTTGTGTTTCAAATTTTTATTTTTGGTGCTGGAGATCTTAGATCTTCTTGTTCCACTACTAGGCTGTACCCCCAACTTGAACTATTTATTTCTTTATTTAGTTTCCCCACTATCCTCGAGGGAGCTTGAACTTTCTGGGTGCAGGCAAAGCAAATTATCCAATTGTGGAAGAAGGGGAGAGTTTGTCACTGAGAGCAATTAGTTGTGTTCCAATTTCCCAGGTGGGTCTCCATTAACTGCCTACCACACTCCCAGGCTGTGGCAGCCCCGCGAATCACGCACCTCTCCTGGGGGGAAACCGCGCGCCTCCTCAGAGCGCTGTTTTCCCACGGAAGCTTTAGAAAAACCAACCAACCAACCCACCAACCACAAAAACTTCACTTTGCTCCACTGGCGGGGTGGGGGAAGGGCTGGGACTCGGGCGAAATCTTTTCCTCCGTCCTTTCGTCAGGCACCACCTCCTTGTGCTCCCCAGAGGCCACCCCCAGTTTATTTCTTGATCTTTATTATTATAGAAAATTTCAGCGACGATCGCATCTGCACGCATTCCCCTGGTGTCAGCCGTGAAGACCACCCCGAGGTGCGGACGCAACCCCTCTCCTGGTTTCCCCAGGCATGTTCTAAAGCAAGTCGCAGACACCAGATCTTTTTACCTGAATGCGCCTTAGTGTGTCTTTAAAAACACTTCGCACGGCCGCGATCGCGCCGACACGGCGGCGCGCGCGGGACTCTGGGGGTCGCCAATCCAGGGCGGGCGCGGCCGCGGGCGCGCAGGGCTCCTCCCCCGCGGCTCCCGGCGTCCGGGCGACTTCGGCCTCGCAGGCTTCGCTCCAGGCGACCGCGGCCCCGACGCCCTACGCAGCTGCACCAGCCGCCATCCCCAGACGCCGCCAGATCCCTGGAGGGGAAACGATTGACACAGCTGCGTGCTTTGCGCCCCCGAGGGCCCCCGCGACACCTGCGTCTCCCGGTGGTGCCGGGGCGCGGGAACCGGCTCGGGACTCAGACCAGGCCAGGCCAGACTGGAAGCCTCCGCGGCTCTGGTCTCCAGCTCGCTCTATCCCGCGCGGGACTCGCGGCCCCGCGACCTCTCACGCCGTGACTACAACTCCCGTCGTTCCCCGCGACCCAACCAATGGCGGGTGGCGGCGCGTGCGGGGCGCGGCGCTTGCGCGGCTGTTTGAGTAAGCGGCCCCGCGATTGGCTGCGGGGTCGGGCGCCGCGCGGGGCCTGTGGGAAGCGGAGTGACGGAGCGAGCGGCTGTTGGAGGAAGGAGGTGGGGGCCGGGAGCGCAAATGGCGTTGAGATGGTTCAGGGCCCTGTTCAAACTCCAGCGCTGACCATTCACCGGCGGAAGCGGCGGCGCAGGAGGCGGTGGCGGCCCAGCGGGGGCACGTAGCGAGCTCGCCGGGGCCCGCGCTCAGGGAGGCCTAGGTGCGGCCCGGCCGGCGGCACTCTCGGCGGGGAGGGAAGTTGCGGGCCCGCCGCTCCTCCCCCTCAGCCGGGCTTCGTATTTACCGGAGCGGAGTCGCGGGCCGTGACGGCGGCGGAGCCCCTGGCCGGCCCTGCGCTCCCGCGCCGCCCGCCCGCCCGCCCGCGGGCCGAGGCCAGCGCTCCCGCCGGCGTCCAGGGTGAGTGAGGTGGGCAGGCGGCCGCCTAGGCCCGGGCGGCGGGCGAACGGGCGGCGGAGGTGCCGGCGAAGTTGGGCTGGCCGCGACCCGGGGACTGTTTCCCTCTTCCGTTCCCCTAGCTTCGAGTTCCTCCCTGGCGTCTGACCGCTGCCTGACTTCCCTCCCGACCCCGGTCCGAGGCAGCGATGCCCATCCAGAGCCCGCTTCCCGTCGTCTCCACCGACGCTGGTCGCCTCTGAGGCCTCGCTGTCCCGGGGACTCGGTGGCAGCGGCTTCCGGGGCGTCGGGAGCGAGCCACATCGCTGTCCGGGGCGGTGGGGGTGGGGAGAGAAAAGTTGCGTGAGCGTCCGGCGGAGGGGCTGGCTCTCCGCCGCCCGGGTGTGGGTTTCCGTGGATTGACGCGCGGCTTCCACTTTTCCCTGCTTCGTGGGAGCCCCCAAAGTCTCTGGGGTTAGAGAGACGCTCGATCGGGAAGGGGGTTACTGTGAGGCTATTTTTTTTAAATCGTAGCACAGTTTTCAGATGTAAACTGGCATTGCGCTGGGGTAAAAAGCCCACAGACCTAATAAAACATTTGGCCATCAATCATTCTTTGCTCTTTGGTGTTCGAAGCCAGAGCATGATACGCTGTGGGAGATAGACTTAAAAAGTCATGTCAGATAATGTCTGCACACTTAGTTTGGAATGTGTACGTACTTTTGATGTTTCGATAATGCCATCGCGGTAGTTTGACTTTTTGCTTTTAAAGACATTTGATTATGGAGTACCATAACGACAGTCAGAAGTAGGAAATATTATATAATGGACGCCTGTGTACTTCTGTTGCTTGGATCAGCACTTACCCAACCTAACCGAATTTATCTCATTTACACTCTTTCCAGTCCTTTCAGGTTAGAAAAATCACTAAGGGTATTTCATCGATGTTTCATTGTGTTTTTGAAAGACAAGTTCTCATTTTTTTAAAAAAAGGCAGTTTTGTCACACAGGTATTAACTTAGTATCAAATATTTATCTGCAGAGTTTGTATTTTCAACAGCCAGTGCTTTGTGGTTGTCCAATGAGTTTTTCTGGTGTTGGCTTAAATAGGAGCTCAAGTCTAGATTTTTGGTTTGGCCTTTAGTCAGCACTTTTAGATGATTACCACTTAAGTGTATCCAAAACATTTCTGCATTTTGGTGTATATGTAAATGTAGGTCTGCAGATCACAGCTTTATATTCTTGAAGAGATGAAATGACTTTTATTTTTATTTATTTATTTCTTTTTGTCTTTTTCCTTTTTATCAGTACCGGGGATCGAACTCACATCTACCTGCTTGCAAGGCAGGCGCTTATGCCGCTGAGCTAAATCCCCAGTCCCCCCGAAACGACTTTTATTTTGTTGTCTTGGTAACTGCCCATTAGTACTTCAGGTTTTTTAAGATTTAAAAGAAGACTGCAAAATAGTAAAACTTGTTAGTTTTACCTTCTGTAGTAGAAGGAGAAATCGGTCTCCCTCAGGAAAACGGTTTTCTTTTAGCACACAGATGTGTGTAATGACTAATTTATTATTTTGTCACATTAGAATTGGCTTCTTACCAACTCTGTGGGGATCTTCTGAGTATATTGGGCAGCAATTCATTATAAGTTGTATAAATATAGGTTAAGAAAAAAATGAAAGGTGCTTATCAAGACATATTTACAAGTATCAAAGTAATTTTCATTGTTGTAAGTTTTGAAGTAATGAAATTTATGAAGTCCCTAAGCAATTGTTCACTTTTTCTAGTAATAATTGATGTATTGATACTATAGAAAGGCAAAGTGACAAGTTAGGTAAAAATCGATTGTGCTTAAAAGTACTGTGAAAAAAAATAGTTTAACTCTTCATTTACTTCCCTGGAAAATTTTTGACCTTGTACCTGTTACTATGCAGATAAAGCAGATGAATTGATTTGTCATTTATAAGTCAAAGAGGAAAATAAGCATGATGTGTTTCTATTCCAGTAATAATTCATGGAGCAGGGCAATGTGCTCAGTTTCTCTAGCTCCAGAAAATGTCACTCAGCAAATCACAGCGCCACAGGGAGGAAGAAGGTGGACTAAGGGTGGTGTCTTGCACTGGGGAGAATACAACCATCTGAAAAATAGTTTTTGAGTCACAGCTCAAAGTGCTTTAATCCAACCATCAGACTTTTCAAGGTTGGGTTAAAAGCTAGCAGATATGTAAGAAAGTAGCAGCGTTTTCCTGACCTTTTTTTCCTCCATATTGTGAGTGCTGTGAGTCTCAAAGAACTAAATTTAGTCAACTAGTTGACATTTCTGAGATCCTGAAAAAAATTAACGTTTATGCTTAAGCTTTTTATCAGGGGTAATTCAGATTACTTTTAAGGTAAAAATGGTGTTTATGAGAACAGTAAGTCGATTCATTTGGAAACTGAAAAACTGTTTCCCTATAAGTTGGTTTTGTGGATATTATATTAGAAGTGGGTTATCACTAAGTTGTTTTACTTTGACAGTTATGTTATTCATATGTATTCATTAAGATCAACAGTGGAAGCATGTAGAGTGAAAAATGAGCTTATCTCCTTCCATTTGTTTATTTTTAATTTATTTTTTATTTTTATTTTTTTGTACCAGGAATCAAACTCGGGACCTAGCGCTTGCCGGGCACATGCTTGTACTGCTGAGCCTCTATCTCCTGCCCTGTTTGTTTGTTCTTTGTGGTACAGGATTGAACCCAGGGCCCTGCTACATCCCCAGTCCTTTTTATTTTTCATTGCCCAGCCTGGGCTTGAACCTTCTACCTCAGCCTCCCAGAGTGCAGGGATTACGAGCCTGCCCTGCCACACTTGGCTTATGTAACCATTTTTAAGGGTCTGTATGTGAACACTGAAAAGTCAAGGAATTATTCATATGCAGTGTTGAATACTTGCTGAGTATTTAGTGATTCTATATTTTCTTCAAATCTTTCCACAGGGAATATGAAACAGGTGTCAAAATGACATCCAGATTTGGGAAAACATACAGTAGGAAAGGAGGCAATGGCAGTTCAAAATTCGATGAAGTCTTTTCCAACAAACGGACCACCCTTAGCACCAAATGGGGAGAGACCACATTTATGGCTAAATTAGGGCAGAAGAGGCCCAATTTCAAACCAGATATCCAAGAAATTCCGAAGAAATCTAAAGTAGAAGAGGAAAGTACTGGCGATCCTTTTGGTTTTGATAGTGACGATGAGTCTCTACCTGTTTCTTCTAAAAATTTAGCCCAGGGTAAGGGCTCTTCCTACTCAGAATCTAGTGAAGCTGCTCCGCTGGAAGAAGTCCCTTCAGTACTTGAAGCTAATAGCAGAACCGGGCCTGTGGTGGGGGAAGATGGCCTCGAGTCTGCTGCGAGCTCACCTTTGGAGGCTGCTCTGCCTGGGAAGGAGAGGGCCACAGACAGACTCCTGGAAGACGAGTCGAGCAGGAGCGGCTGTGCTAAATTAGTAGCTACGGGTAAGTTTGCGCTTTCTTCATGATGAGCCAAGAGAGCTTTTTGTAAGTCATTATGTAAATGATTTGAATTCCAAAATATTATATCACTTGGGTTTGCTTTTTGCATTTATGATTCGTGGAAACTGTTCACAGTTTTGTATGAGATTTCAGAAATTTTAAAAAATCAGGGACTAAAATTTTATTTAAGCAATTTGGATATTATTGTTTCTAGAGTTATTGGTCCAGGTATATTTGGGAACTGTCTTTCATAAACCCCAGAACCCAGTTCCAGTAAGAAACAAGTTTTTGTTGGGTTAGGACTACATGCATCTGACTTCTCACTGCAGAGCAGTGAGGCAAGCCTTCTGGAGATAGGTGTCCAGAATGCAACCCCAAACCCCCTTAATTTATCCCAGAGTGCCAGCACTGCAAATGAACCCGAATACTGAGGTTTTAATTTAGGAAAAACAACTTCGTACATTAACATCTTTTGTTTTAAAACAGTACATGCGTGCCATGTGTTTGCTACCACTGCTGTAGAGGACTGTGGTGGTTCCTGGTAATGACAGTGAAGGTTAGCTAGCTGGGAGTGCTAGAGTTGTAAAACTAGTTCAGAAAGATTAAGGAGATATTGAGTAGAGTCCTGGAAGAATCGGGCTTCATTGCTGATTGAGATTAGTGTGGAGTCCTAGGGCAAGTGGTGACTTGTATTAATGGATTTCAATTTGCAAAACTGAGCTAAACATTATGTGTCATTGTGGCTTTTAGGGTAGTCTGATAAGTGTCTTGTCAGTTGTACCCCATGGGCTTTTGTGAAAGTTCTGGCCTTATAGTAAACGATAAAGGGCCAGAAACTGAAGGCGTGGAGTGCCTGAGGTGGAGGCTGAGGAGCAGGTGGGGCGGAGAAGTGCGCACCCCATCGCCTTAGCTGGTGGGTAAGCTGCCATTCTAGTTGAAGGTGCATCCTTGTTCGGGATTGTTGGCATAGCTTGGCGAGGCAGGAAGGCTGTGTAGCTCTCACACTTTGAAGGGAGAGGGAAGGACAGAACCTCCCTGTGTTGAGTTAGCAGAAGGAATGAGTTGGAGCTGCATGGAAGGCACGGGCAGTGCTGCTGTGG